TACCAAGAGCTGAGGTGACTATCAAAATGATCAAGTAGGGTGCCACAATGGTGTTTCTTAAGCTTTCCCTTTGTGATTGTAGCTCCTAAGTATTGCAACGGTGTTATTCCTTGCTTCATCTCTAGTGCTCTTGTTGTTGCTGTAATGGCTGCTTGCCTTGCATGTTTCCCACAGTAGAATCTGCTTTTGTTGAGGTTTATGTCCTGGCCAGAAGCTTGAAGATAGGTGTTGATGATCCCTTTGAGCCGGAGAACATTCCTATAGTGACCATTGGCAAATATAATTAAATCGTCTGCATAAGCTAGGTGTGAAATCCTTGGAACCTATCCTGCATTAAAAGGGGTTAGATAAGAATTGTTTAGGTGGTGATTCAAGGTGCGGGTGAGGCCTTCTGTTGCAAGGATATAGAGCAAGGGAGATAGTGGATCTCCTTGTTTAATGCCCCTCTCCATGTGGAAAAAACCTGCTGGTTGTCCATTTATAAGGATGGAGAGGGATGTGGCTTTGAGGTTGCTCATGAGGAGGGTGATAACCTTGGATGAGAATCCAAAAGCTGCCAGAATAGCCTCAAGGTATTCCCAACTCAGTTTGTCAAAGGCTTTTGCCATGTCCACTTTGATAATGAGATTGCCTCCATTTGTCTTCCTATCCAGGGCATGATGCATTTCTGTGGTGAGGAGTATTTGGTCAGCAATGTCCTTTCCAAGTTGGAATGCTCCTTGCTCCTTTGAAATGAGTTTGGGTAAGAGGGGTTTGAGCCTGTTGGTGAGAAGTTTAGTATGGATTTTGCTCATAAAGGTGGAAAGGGATATTGGTCTATAATCCTGGAAAGTATTAGGTGCTAATGTCTTAGGTATCAAAGTGATCAGCGTTGCACCATAGGCCTTGGGGGTGGGAATACCGAGGAAGAATTCCTGTGCAGCTTTGTGGAGGTCTTGTCCTAAAATGTGCCAAGTTTTCCTGAAGAACTCCCCTGTGTAGCCATCCGGTCCACTGGTGCTGTGTGGATCAAGGTCCCAAACTGCTGCTCTGACCTCTTCAAGGGTGGGGAGAATGGTAAGGTTATTGTTTTCCTCCTCTGTGATTACGTTTGGGATGAAGTGAGTGATTTCCTCCAGGCCATGGACAGATGATTTGTATAAATTTTGGTGAAGTGGTTAACAGCTTCTGTTTGGATTTCCTTGGGCTGGGTAAGGTTTCTGCCTTCTGAGGACTTGATATGCTTGATGGATAATTTGTGTTTTCTGCCTTTAACAAGGGAATGGAAGTATTTTGAGTTGGCATCACCTTTTTCCATCCATCTTACATTAGCTTTCTGCTTCCAGTATTCCACTTCTCTGTTGGTGGCTAGGATGAGCTTAGCTTTAGNAGCTTTGGACCAAGTTTCTCTGTTTGTTTCTGTTGGCCTCTCATCAAAGGCAATTTCTGCAGCCATGGATTCCTCTTCGGCCTGTTTGACAGCCAAAAAAATGTCCCCAAAGATACTCTTATTCCATTCTCTGATGACAGCCTTTAGTCCTTGAAGCTTGTTACATAAGCCCCTCATTCCTCCAGAGGTTGGGGTTGAGCTCCAGTACTTTGATACCATAGCAAGGAATGTTGTGTGTGTGAGCCAGGGGTGAAGGATTCTAAAGGATTTGGGGGCTGAGATGTGGGCAGTGGTGCACTCAAGAAGGAGGGGGTTGTGATCGGATCCAGTTTTACTGAGGTGTTTGCAGCTGATTTCATCAAAGGTGTTAACAACCTCTGAGTTGATTAGTATTCTATCAAGCCTCCGCCAAACTCTCCCTTGGCCCCTTTTCCCACACCAAGTAAACCATCCTTTCGAAGGATAAATCTGTATAAGGGAGTTCTCTTCAATGCATTCATTGAATTCTGCCATACTTCTGCTGCACGGGGTAGCGGTACCTTTGTGTTCTGAAAGGGAGGTGATGGTGTTGAAGTCACCTCATAAAATCCACATTTCATCAGTAGGTCTATGAGTAGTAATGAGGTTCCATAAGTCCCTCCTTTGGATTAGGTCATGCTTGCCATAAATAGAGGAGATATTAAGGACCTTTGAGGAGCTATTAATGATGAACCTGCAGGTTAAAATCTGTTCCTCTCTAAAGCAGTGGGTGAGGTGAAGGGTGTGCGAATTCCAGAAGATCCATATTTTGTTGGTAGGGGAGGTATCATAGGAGTTGTAACCAAGTTTTAGAAGGTAGAAGGATATTTTGATGCTATTGACAATAGGTTCAAAAACTGCAATGAAAGGGGGGGAGAAGGTTTTGGTTAGGGATTGGAGCCTTGTGATAGAGGATGCAATCCCACATGCATTCCAAAAGAGAAGGATCATTTGGGGATTAAGGGAGGTAAAGCTCCTTGGCCACGACACTTGCTTCTCGTTTGGACGCCACTTGGTGGGAACACTCTCTTTTTCCTGGTCCTCCTAGGGGTGAGGGAGACCTGTGCACATTTAAGTGTTGGTTTAAGGATGAAGGGTTCAAGGTTTCCTTTGATGTATGGTTCATCATCCCCTTCAGAGTGGCAGTGGATGTCCAGTTCCTCCTCACTGTTAGTGTCATGCAATGGAAAGCCAAGATTATTGAGAATAGTAGTGGTTGGGTCATGGTTAATAACCTCTGGGGAGGTGGTGTCGTCCAGACTGCCAGATGGGAGAGTAGGGGTTGGGTCAAGGTCCATGAGGTTAAGGAGCTCAGGACAAATGTTGGGGGTGGTATTGGGATGAACATTGGAGGTGATGTGGGGTTTAGGGATTAAGCTGGCAGATTGACTAGGGGTGGGGGATAAGGGTGCTAAAGTGGGAGAGTGAGCTGTATTTTTGGATGTACCAGCTTGGCATATATTTGCAGCAGGAGGGTTTTGACTGGGGTCCTTAATTTTCCAGTAATGCACAGGGACTGGGCAAGTTTGGGGCTTTTGTGTTGGACAATTCCTCTTGACTATAGTCCAATCTGAATCTCCATTTGCCACCATCGGTGTGTCGCCGGTGTGGACTTTTCCGGCGACAAATCGTTTTTTGCAAGATGATTCCTTGTGGCCTAAAAGCTTGCAGGTATGACAGAAAGAAGGGGGCTTTTCAATGGTTAAGGGAAGATTAAAGTCTCGTGCCCCTAGCCGAAGGTGTATGGCCTGTGGGACTGGGTTGGAGAAATCAATTTCAATACACATTCTAGCCCTGCTGGTGTTTTTGCCAATTAGGGTTCGTTCATCTGGTTTGATGGGTCTGCCAAGACAAGAGGCTAGGGTGTAAAGGGCTGGTGGGTGAAAAAGGTGGAGAGGGACATTGAAGATAGAGACCCAAACAGGGATAACAAGGCAATCTGTGCTAGAGGATCGGAGTAATTAGAAGACCATTTGAGAACATAAAAATCTGCCTTGCCAAACTTCCATGTTCTACGCAGAAGGAACCTCTGGTAATCATGTTCAAATTGGAAGATGAAGAGTGTGTCATACCTTGAGAGGGGTTTGATTAAGAACGCCTTGAATCCTATGGAGTAGAGGATTCTGTGGAGATCATTCAATGGAGGAGAGATGTTAGACCTGCCCACAACAGCGTACTGAAGTTCTTGCGCAAGATGCTGCTCCTCCTCTCCTGTGAAGACAACCGAAGGATTTCCTTTCCTCAGTCCAACGACTTTTCCAATTTGTGGCATAGCTGGGAAGAGTTCTGAGAATAGTTTTTTCTTTTCAGGATGGTTGATGTTGTTCCTTGGTTGGTTGCCTCGCCGGAGCAGTCGCCGGAAAACGTCTCTCTCCCATCTTCTCTCTGATATATATATATATATATATATATATATATATATATATATATATACATACATACATACATACATACATATATATATATACATACATACATACATACATACATATATATATATATATATATATATATATATATTAACTTTATGGATTTGGTGTATTTTGGTCTTAACACATAGATGACATATATAAGTATCACATATACATTTTAGAGATAGTTTCAACATATGGATTAACATATATGTTCATGTATGTATGTGATGAATGATTCGACAAGTCTAACGCAAAGGTACAGACCTGGAAATCATCGGCCGAAACCTTACGGATGAGCGGGAGTAGAAACAACATCGAAATTCACCAACTTTGTCATTCTCATCACAATTAGACAGCCTGCCGTATTTTGAGCATATCTCCATCGTTTCTTCACGGAATTGCAAACTGTTTGATTCTGTGGATTCCTAAGATGTAAGGCTATAACTTTTGTATAGAAAGTATTTCGAATTAACAGGTGTAAAATAGCGTAAATCGGATCTGAAGTCAAAGGATAGTTGCTGTCCAGAATATCGGATATGTCGATGAACACGATCCCGACGATTAACTCACTAACTTCAACATTCCAACGCCGAACCTTCTCTACGATACCTTCCGGATGTTCCTAATAATTGTTAGAGAGTTTATGGTAAGTATTTGGAATGAAATAATATGAATATGGTGAGGAAACAAAGCCAACCCGAGGAGCTCGGCACCACTGGCGCAGTCCCGGTATTTTGGCCATATCTCCTTCGTTACTTAACAAAATTGCGAGCCGTTTGTTGGGCTGGATTCGTATTGTCCGGGGCTACAGCTTTGGTTCAAGAAGTATTTCGAGATAATGGATGGAAAATTTCAGATTTTACCTAGAAGTGGACTGCTGTGTTTGATTTTAGGATTTAGGAACTTTGGATGGTTTTTCTTGCTCCTTCTTCTTCTTCCTTAACAGACTACCATGGAGTTGGAGTTTTCTTTTCTTTTCCTTGTTGCTGCCGACAGAGAGAGAGAGATGGAGAGGAGATGGATGCATGAATGATGGTGGATGATAGTGATGATGTATAATGATGAAGATGGTGGTGGAGTATTATATATTTATTCTTGGAGTGTTGTGTTAGTGGAGAATAAATGGGGTGGCTAGTGGGAAACATGGGCTGCTAGGAGTTGATCCGTGATTTAGTAGGAATCTTAGAAAATGAAGTTTGGCTTTTAGTCCAAACTGAGTAGTTTACCCCCAAACGGTACGCGCTGTTTCGCCCAAACTGCTTCGAATTGAAAATGGATTGCGTTTTTGGAATGAGACAGTCAAAACTGGAAATTTGACATAATCAAAATATTTTTTTGAGAACTTTTATTTTTCTCAGTGTTCTAGTCTGTCACAGTCATAAATTAATTTAATAATATGAGTGATATAATAATATATGAATTAAATCCAAATGATTAATATGATGTTGTCAAGTGTCAAAAATTAAGATTTCTAATCTTATGAACTCTCTTTTGAATTTAGTTTAATTTATGGGTCAAAGTTACAAATTTTAATATTTAAAATCGTCATAGCTTGAAATCTATAAATCAGATTGGTTCATAAAATGTACCGTTAGATTCGTTTCTTTGAGACATATCCATAAAAATAAGTTTTTAACAAAAAGTCATTATTTTGAAAATCTATTTATTTTTTGGTCAAACGTATAAATATTTCTTATTGGACAAAAACTACTTTTGTTTTATAATAAATTTTTGGCCATATTTCGTGGCATTACAAAAATACTTTTGGATGTTTGGGGTTGGGTTGGACGGAATGGGGGTTGGCCAGCGGACCCTTAGGTAAAAAATGAAAGTATTTTGGCCTTTCAGGTTAAAGGACCTATGAATTCTCACTAAAATGGATCATAATATTTCAACATAAGTCCTTTGGATCCCATGATTATGTGAGGCGTGGGGAAGGACCTGAAAGAGTTTGCCCTCAAACTCAACGGATAATCAAGACCGTTATATGCACTGAGGTCTCTCTTATTGAACGTGGCAGAAACTCCATCACTTCTACTGAGAGCAACCGCATAGGCAATGTTTTTGACCTTGGCTACCACTTCAAATGGACCATCGTCTCGGGGTTGAAGCTTTGCCTTGCGTTTGTCAGAGAAATGCTCTCTTTGCACATGGACCCACACTAGGTCTCCGGGCTGAAAGTGGATGGAATGTTTCAACTTATTTCTCTTCTCAAGCTTTTCACGAGTCTTATGATAAAATTCGGAGGTTTCTTCATCACATGGAACTTGGGTAAATTTCACCAATGGTACCTGAACTTAAGCTGAAATTTCGAAGTGGTACCTGAACTTCAAATCCTTTCACAAAAATCTCTGAACTTACACAATCCTTTCACTAATGAGCCATTAGCCCGTTTCTAGGTTAACTTCCGGTCATTAGGGCCAAATTTGAATTTTATATATTTTAAAATTTTCAATTTGACCCCATTTCTTCTTTTCTTTTCTTCCAGGCCCCGCCGCCGCCCACCGGTCAAAGTCGCCGGAAAATGAACTTTTTCCGATTTCGGCGGGACCAATGTCATTCTCCTCGTCTTGAGACGAGGATTAATAATATCCAAACCATTTTGTATAATTTGGCTTGTAACTTCTCGAATCTGAATTTTTCTACTCGAAAAAGCCCTAAAATTCAAAATTGGGTCCAAAATTGGGAGTTTTGCAAATCGTCATCAAATCTTGCAATTGAAGGGTCCTTGGAGGTCACCCGGATGCCATGACCACATTGGAGTGGATTTCCGCCGTCAATTTTGCCGGAGTTGGCCGGAAAACGCCCTGACCCGCCAGAAACCGCCAGCAGGTCGGAGCGTTTTCCGGCCAACTCCGGCGAAATTGACGGCGGGCACCAACTCCAATGCGGTCGTGGCATCCAAGCGACCTCCAAGGACTCCTCAATTGCAAGATTTGATGATGATTTGCAAAACTCCCAATTGTGGACCCAATTTCGATTTTAGGGTTTTTTCGAGTAGAAAAATTCAGATTCGAGAAGTTACAGGCCAAATTAGACAAAATGGTTTGGATATTCTTGATACTAGTCTCAAGACGAAGAGAATGACATTGGTCCCGCCGGAATCGGAAAAACTTCATTTTCCGGCGACTTTGACCGGTGGGCAGCGGCGGCGGGGCCTGAAAGAAAAGAAAAGAAAAAATGGGGTCAAATTGAAAATTTTAAAATATATAAAATTCGAATTTGGCCATAATGACCGGAAGTTAACCTAGAAACGGGCTAATGGCTCATTAGTGAAAGGATTGTGTAAGTTCAGGGATTTTTGTGAAAGGATTTGAAGTTCAGGTACCACTTCAAAATTTCAGCTAAAGTTCAGGTACCATTGGTGAAATTTATGTTGACCCTTGTGTTTTGATAATGACAACTATCTCATGGGCTTGGCACTTTGGATGTTGATCTTCACAATCATGCGTAGGATCTCAAGACAAGTGTGAAGATATAGTGTTTTTGTTTTTTGTTTTGATCTTAGCATTTTTGTTAAAGTGTATGGCACGTTAGTTGTTTTTCCTCTTTGAAAATGTTTTCCAAAAACCCTTTAAATTGTTTTTGAGTCAGTTGCAAAATCATTTTTTTAAAACTGTGAAAACTATTCGAATAATTCTTGTTTTATTCGAATAAGACAGAGTTTTCAGTTCTGTCTTATTTGGATAAATAGCATATTATTCGAATAAGTCCTGACTTTCATTTCTTCAATCCTACAGTGATTTAGTCGAATAAACCTTAATTTATTCGAATAAGTCTGCGTTTTTCGCTCTGTCCTATTCGAATAAATATGATTTTATTCGAATAAGTCGTCAGTTCGAACTGCAGATTTGTCAGTTTTTAAGGGAGTTATCCATCCCTATCTTTCATAACTCACTTACAACGGCTCCTTTGCTTGAAGAACATTATTTATATCCATTCAAACATATTCTTCTAGGAATCCAAGCAATTCAATTCATACTTTTAATCCTTCAACATTACTCCCAAGCAATTCTTCAAGAAATCAATATTTGCTTGATTTTTGAAGAGTACTAGTGTGCCATACTCTATAAGTTCTTGTATTCTACAGCAATCCACTCTTAATTTGAAGAGTATTTCCGCTGTGCACTTTGTTTTTGGAACGGTGTGTGAATTGTAAAAACTTGAAGTTGTTATAATTCAAGTTTTGGAGAGAAATCCTAAGTCTTGTGAAATTAAGACTTCGGTGGAAAGGTTAGAGGCTTGCGAATTCAAGTTCTCGAGTTGTAATCGGATTGTCAAACTCCGTTAAGTTTGACGAAGTTAGTGGAATCTCGGGCACGTTTGCTTCGGGGACTGGATGTAGGCATTAGGCCGAACCAGGATACATCGTGTGTTGCTCCTTCTCTTCATCTTTGTCTTGTGGTTGATTTACTCCTGCGAATTTTTGTTTATTCTTCCAAAAGTTTTGATTATTGAAGAACACCTCTATTCACCCCCCCTCTAGAGGTGCATAAGTTGTTCAACAATTGGTATCAGAGCGTGGTTGCATTTCCAAAGCTTTACCGCTGGAAATCTAGATCATGGCCGGAAGAACATTCCAAGCCGGTGTATCCGAAGGACAATCTACTACATGTCCTCCATTCTTTGATGGTACAAATTATGCATATTGGAAGGAAAGAATGAGGATATTCATACAATCAAACGACTTCGACTCATGGATGGTAATCAAGCATGGAAACACTACCCCTGCAAATATTGTTGATGGAATTCGTGTTCCCAAGTTGGAATCCGAATATGATGATCAAGACAAGAAGAACGTCATGCAAAATGCCAAAGCCAACAACTATCTTTATTGTGCAGTCAACCCTGATGATTATAGAAAGATATCAAGATGCAAATCCGCCAATGAGATGTGGACTAAACTCGAAGTCACTTATGAAGGTACATCTCAAGTTAAAGATGCTAAAGTTGATATCTTATTGCATGAATACGAATTATTCTCAATGAAGGAGAATGAAAGCATTGATAGTTATTTTGAGAGATTCTCTACAATCATCAACAATCTTGACACGCTCGGAAAGTATTACACCGATCATGAGCTTGTCCGGAAAATTCTGCGTTGTATGACTCCTGAGTGGAAATCCGAGGTGAACGCCATAACTGAAGGAAGAGACTACAATGTCTTAACTTATGATACTCTTCGTGGGAAACTACTCACATATGAAACTACTACTCCTCATCTACGTGGTGAAGACAAAAGGAGGAAATCTATAGCATTGAAAGTCACCAAGGAAGTTGTAGAGGAAAATGAAGAAGATGATGATGAATCACTTAATTTAGAAGACAATCCCGAACTTTCTCTTGTCATCAAACGCTTCAACAAATTTATCAAGAAAAGCTTCAAGCCAAGGAGAGACAATGGGAAGAAAGCTACACCACCTAAATGCTATGAATGTGGAGAGATAGGGCACATCAAGCCTTATTGTCCTAAGTTGAAGCAAGGGAAGGACAAGAAGTTCAAGAAGAAGCAAAAAGCATACATCTCATGGGAGAGTGATCATTCATCTTCTGAAACAAGTGATGAGGACGAAGAAATAGCAAATCTTTGTCTAATGGCTACCGAGGAAGAGGTATCTTCTAATTCTTTTTCAACTCCTTTATTGTCTTCGAGTGATTGCTTTTCATTGGATGATTTACATAGTGCATTTAGTGATCTCTATGGTGAATTTCTCAAATCCACCAAAGAAACTAAGCTTGCCAAAGAAAATGTCACATCTTTAGAAGCTCAAATAATTGAACTTAATAAAGAGATGGAATTATTAAAATTGGAGAATAAGAAACTTGGCAAAGTTAGTATTGATTCACCTTGTGCACAATGTAAAATCCATGAAAAAGAGGTAGCTAGATTGCATGAGCATTTAGGAAAATATAATAAGGCTAGCAAGGACATGCACTTTATAGTTCAACAAGGTCAATATAATAGAAATGGATTAGGATATAAATCTAAGGGACTTAAGAAAATGAACTTCGTAAAAGAAGGAGAAAGACCTTTGGATAAAAATAATTCTAGGAATAATTCACAACAAAAATTTATTAGTAATCCTAAGAAGACTCAATCTATAATAGTACATACCCCCACTACTTCTAGGATGAGAAAACCTAGTGAGTCTAGGAGTTACGTTGATCATAGGTTCACTAGACAACCTAGACAATTTCCTAGAAATAGACAACCTAGCAATTTTAGGAATGTAAGGAATGCACCTAGACAACCTAGCAACTTTAGGACACATAGGAGACATTCTAGCCCATATAGATATATGTATGATCCTAGAGTTGTTTGTCATTTTTGTGATCATGTTGGACACATAGCTCCTGTATGTTTTAGGAAGCTTAGATTGATTGCTAAGGATAGGAAGAGGGAACACATTGATATTTATGATGTTCATACTAACTCTCAAGGACCCAAAAGGATTTGGGTACCTAAAACCCCTAATTAAATAATTATACAGGCGTGCTTGAAGGCATCAAGTGTACTATGGTACCTTGATAGCGGATGCTCCAAGCACATGACCGGAGATGCATCTAAATTTGTTTTTCTAAAATCAACTGATGGTGGAAATGTCATATTTGGCGACAACAACAAAGGAAAGATCATTGGAACCGAAATTGTTGGCAAAAACAAAGCTTCCGGAATTGAAAATGTGTTGTTGGTCGAAGGCCTCAAGCATAATTTGCTTAGCATTAGATGTGATAAAGGTAACCGTGTTATTTTTACTTCTAATCATTGCATGGTCGAACGCCTTTGTGATAACAAGATTATCCTTACCGGCGATCGCATAGATAATATTTACATGATCAACCTTGAAATTACTCCAACAGACTTTGCTCATTGCCTCATTACTAAAGGGGAAGAGATGTGGCTATGGCATAAAAGAATTGGTCACACCAATATGCAACTAATTAATAAATTAGTTTCAAAAGACCTAGTAATTGTGTTCCTAAACTCAAATTCGAAAAGGGAATTTGTGATTCATGTCAAAAGGGTAAACAAGTAAAAACCTCTTTCAAATCAAAGAAAGTTGTTTCTACTTCTAGACCATTGCAGCTTTTGCACATTGATCTCTTTGGACCTTCTCGAACTATGAGTTTAGGTGGTAATTACTATGCCTTGGTTATTGTTGATGACTACTCTCGTTATACATGGACCCTATTTCTTTCCCACAAAAGTAATGCACCTTCATCTTTTCACAAATTCACTAAGAAGGTTCAAAATGAAAAAGGTTGTAGCATTGTGGCCGTAAGAAGTGATCATGGAGGAGAGTTTGATCAAAGTGGGTTTGATACCTACTGCGATGAAGTAGGCATTGCACATAACTTCTCA